CATTCAATTATTGATGGGTACTTGGGCTGCTTCCACCCCTCTGCTATCATGATCAATGCTGTGATTAACACAGGTGTGCAGGTTGAAACTAAAGCAGCACACCCTCCACCATTGAGTCAATTCCTACCTATAGTGACCTTTCACCTGGTTTCCGAGGTTAGATGTCTTTATGGGAGGAGATTACAATCTTGTTCCTATAAAAGGGCTGATAGATTTAAACCACCAGCCTTTCAGTTAGCAGCCCAAACCACAGTATTTTCAATTGTTTGTCATGCAAAAGTTAGGCAACAAATAAAAAGGGCCAAGTGGTTGGTGCCTTTGAATTGTGGTACAAAGAATAATGACTATATCCTGAGTGTTCCTTAGAAGCAACGATGGTGGTGATGGTGTTCATCTTGAACATGGTATCAGGCCGGGTCAGTGCCCAGGAGGGATCATGCCTGAGAAGTAGAGTGTCAGCCAAAGAGTTGAAGGCCTTTAGTGACATGGATTGAAGAAAAGATTGCAACTGTGGGTTTGCCCACCCAGTGGACGGTGTAGGATTAAGCAAAGTTTCTTTCTTTTTTTATTATTCTTATTACTAATTTTAATGAAAGTTTACAGAGACTTTGGATTTCCATTCATTCATTGTTGTACAGATTTCTTTCTGTTGCACATAGGGTACAAATTCAATAGCACTTAACCACAAAAATAATAATAAATTATAATGTGTGATCCATATCTGAGGAAGCATAAGCACTCCAAAAAGAAGGTATAAAGACCATTTGAGAGCAATTGAAAGAACTTGGGTAGTCACTCTCTCTGTGTGTGTGTGTGTGTGTGTGTGTGTGTGTGTGTGTGTGTGTAAGAACACCAGTGCTCTCAGGAGTTCTGGTGGTAAAATTGTTAAGCACTTGGCTGATAGCTGAAAGGCTGGTGGTTTGCCCATCCAGCAACTCTGGAGTAATAAGACCTGGAAATTTGTTCTTAAACAGATTTATTGTTATTATGTGCCATGAAATTGGACCTTCTGTGAGGTTTTCAGAGACAGCAAATTGCACAGCCCATCCTTCTCCTGTGGAGCAGCTGGTGGATTCGAACCACATGTTTTGGGATTGCAGCACAGCTTCTTACCACTAGCCTAGAAAACCTTACTGGGCAATTCTGCTGTGTTACATGGAGTTGCTATGAGTTGAA